CTTCCGAATTCACATTGTGCACAACGGCAGCATGGTACCCAGCTTGCTGGGCATGAAGGACCTTCACCCCAAAGGGGCACTCAGCCCTACGGATGAGCGCAATGAAAGTCTCAGAGGAGTTGCTGGACGGGGGTGGACTTTCTATGGGGTCACATCCATCAGGCGGCGTCACCTCGGTTAAATATCCCGTCAGCTCTTCTGTTGGCAGAGGCATCCCGAAGCACGCAGGCAGCGCATTAAAACCTACGCAGGTAGAGTTGTGGTTGTAAATCACGTGACACGAGGCTTCTGTAAAAGCAGTTTCATAAATCAAGAATGTGGTGACCACGCAGAAAGGAAGATGGAGCGGCGGCCTCATGCTGACAGCTGGTGGATATCTCGGCATATACCGGCTGGCTTGGTCAACAGGATTGCTACTGGCTATGGAAGACCTTAGGAAGCAATCAGAAACGTAGCCCATCAGAGTAGTATTAACATGACATGCCTGGAGCCGTCTCAGCAGACAGTGGCGGCAGCAGGTAGGTAAGTATTCCCCACCTCTTCTCTTGAAGATGTTGCTACCAGCTTGCTCCTTGTTCAATCAGAAACTTAACCCATCAGTATTAATACGACAGTCCTGGAGCCGTCTCAGCGGACAGTGGCGGCAGCAGGTAAGTAAGTATTCCCCACCTCTGCTCTTGAAGATGCTGCTACCAGCTTGCTCCTTATTCACCATGCTGGCCTTGGGGCTCCCAAGGTTTCACCTCTGTTTCTCACTAGTTGTATCCGGCTGCTAAGCAACCTTTCCTAACCATCAGCTCGAGTCTTTGTGACATCACCCAATGACAGCTATATTTGCCGGGGACTGGTTCACTGCAACATTACTGCCAATCTGCAGTGCACTTTTTCCCCACCCTCCATGTTTCTTTTTCATTTCTCCATCCCTCCGGGTCCTGCCCCAGGCTGCTTGGGTTCAGCTCTGCCTCACTCCACCCTCCGATAGGATGCTTGCATCTCCTGCCGCAATCAAGGGGAGTTACTCATCTCCTGCAGTGAGATAAAAATCCCCCTTCTCTTGAGAATCCTTCCATTGCAAACTCAAGTCCTTCTGATCAGACATGATTCCTGGAAAACATTGCATAGTAGGAATGATCTTTAGGATCATCCTCTCCCACCTAGGCAGGGAAGTGCCAGCTCAGGTTGGCTGCTTTTTTTTTAAAAACAATGTTTTTCTATTTATAAGTGTGGTATTTCTGATGTCACGGCACCCAGAGTTGCTCAGATTAGAGCATTTTGTAATTTGCAATAGACATTTAATACTCAAGTAAATCACAGTGCAATATGTATAAAGAGAAGGATTGGAAGTTGCACCCATCCATGTGCACAGGGCAAGGCCAGCACGGTGCTATTGGCCATATTTTCAAGAGAATGCAGATGCCATTTAAGGCCAATTTAAATAGTTAGAAAAATTCCCCTTTGCAAGCTTTCGGGCACCAACACCCTCCATCAGGCTGAGGAAGCGTCTGCAGATGGTCTGTGCTCTTCGTGCATGGGGTGGGAAAGCAGCCAGCGCCCAGTACTTATGCAAGAAAGCCAGTCGGTTCAAATGTAAATAGGTACTAAGTGCTGGCTGCTTTACCGCTCCACCCAGGAAGAGCACAGACCATCTGCAGATGCTTCCTCAGCCTGACGAAGGGTGTTTGCACCCAAAAGCTTGCTAAGAAGAATTTTCCAACTATTGGAGTTGGTCTAATAAAAAATACCGAATTTACCCAGAGAACCTTGTCTGCCCATGTCCTTAGACCCACACGACTACAACCTACACCCCTGACTCCATCTAAGGCACCTATGGAAGTGGCCAGATTCTCAAAAGAGTTCAGTGCATTGGGGTCATGTTGGGCTGAGCATGTTCAAAATCCCGGTGGTGTAACAGTGGGAGAGCACTGGGTGGTGGAGTTCAAAAGATCTAGCCTCCTGTTGCCAGTTTTCATGATTTTCTTGGAAATCTCATGATTTCTCTGAACTTTAGCTTAAAGTTTAAACTCCAGCTTCTGGAGACTGATGATTAATGGCAAACCTTGGCTCTTGTGAAAAGAAGGGGAAAGTACATTTCTAGCCCTTGTGCTTGCACAGGAAAGCTTGAAAATTTGAGATGATCATGCTCTGTAAGCTTGGACGCCAGAAGGAACTTACAAAGGCCCCGTGATCCCTTATTCAGAAAAATCTCATGATTAGGAAGAAAGTTTCATGATTTTAGCATCCGAATGCATGAATTTTGAAGGATCGGGGCAGGTGGCACTGCCCGCCCAGTTGAGAGCGCTGGGCGCTTTAAACTCCAGCTTTGAATATTTGACCGTACGTCTGGATTATCAGCGGTCCTGAGTTTGCAGTTGCTTCTGGTTTCAACAGAGAGTGTTGTGCTGAGCCTCTCTGACGCTCAGTCCCTAAAACCCGACCCTTGACTAGGCAACCCCTTGTTTAATTAATTATTCACCTTAAAGTACCCTCAAGGTTTTACAGTACAGTTTTGTTGGACTGGTAGTTCAAGACTCAGTGCTAGGCAGCTGATTGCTTCTACCCCATGGGCTCTGCTTAAGACCAATTTCACTGCATATATTTTCCTCCCGGAAAAAAGTGGTGCAATGTCAGTGGACAGTGTGTGCGCGCGCGGGTGTGCGTGCCAGAGACTTCCAGCAGATGTGATTTCAAATCGGTTTTATTTCCCTTGTCTAAAAAGTTTTACACTTTCAGTGAGACAGTCTGAGGCTGTGAAAAAGCGGTCAATACTTCTAGTGCAAGAGGTGAAATGGAAAAGGCAGGCTCGCTTGGCTTTGGGCACAACTGTGTAGGTCTCACTTGTGTTTTGATCTCAGCCGTCCTCGTCCTGTCTTCATTGCCTTTGACATCTTGTTCCTCGTTGTTCTCAGCTCCCATTGCTGCTTCCAAGTCAAATCCCTACATTATAAGTCACCAGCTGTTTGCATATTGGACAGGTCTTATTTTGCCGCTGGGTGCGAAGCCACGTGTCAATGCACGTGCCGTGATAGGCGTGAGAACAAGGGAGGATCTTCATCCGGTCTCCTTCCTCGTACTCTGCCATGCAGATCACACACACATCATACTTCTCTCCACTTTTGAACCGATGCACTTTTATCTCCCGGCTCTTTCTACACCATCTCACGCATCCCACGATGACCAGGGTGCTGATGATCACACCAAGCACCAGGCAAAACTCCCGGAGGAAAAGCAAGAGCGTGTGTTTGGAGCAATAGCCAAATTGGAGGTCCCAGTAGTACTGAGCAGTGTCCCAGATGGAGAACCTGTTATTGTCCCAGCAGGGATTTCGATAATATTCAGGTACCACCAGCGTGACACGAGCAACTTTTTCTGAACCCAGAACGCTTCTTAGCAGCTTGGCAGCTGATTCCCCAGTAAAGACAGAAGGGATCCCAATCTGCCGCCGGATGTCTTCAACATTAGTTACCATAGTCACCAGCTTCTCTGAGTTCACGTTATGTATGATAGCAGCTCGATAGCCGGCTTTCTGAGCATGAAGGATCTTAACACCGAAGGGGCAGTCGTAGCGACGGATGAGCGCAATGAAGGCCCTGGAGGAGTTGGCGGATGTTGGCGGGCCCCCGATAGGGTGGCATGCATTTGCAGGCACTGCCTCCATCAGGTAGCCCCTGAGTCCCTCTCTTGGCAGCGGCGACCCGAGGCATGCAGAGAGCGCTCCGAAGTCTTTGCAGGTGGAGTTGTAGCGGTAGACCACATACACGAAGATTTCCGCCACGGCCGTGTCTATGAGCAGGAGGAGAGCGACCACGGAGAGAGGAGTCCATTGCAGAAGCCGCATTGTGAGAGCAAGGGGGGGATTTCTCTAGGTAGGTCCTATCTAATCAGAAGAGATGGCTTGAGAGGAATCAATGGGGAACAACCGGAGCAGGCGACTCAATTCATCCCTTCCAGGCAGTACCAGTGGGACTGGATGGGATGTTGCATCCCAGTCCCTTTCTTTAGAGGTATTCTCAGCTGCTTCTTTCACTACATGCTCCAGTCTGATGGTTCCCAGGTTTCTCACTACCTTCGTGCAGTCGCCCAGGTCTTTGTGACATCACTCACTGATTACATTTAAGACCAACTCAGTTCTTCTTAGCAAGCTTTCAGTCCCAAAAGCGTGACATCCCCAGGATGTGATCCCAGAGCTTGTAGGAGAGAGGGAGGGAGGAAAGGAAGGAAGAGACGAGCGGGGCCTTTGGAAGTGGAGGAAGAAAAGAACCAGTGAGAGGGGAAGAATGGACTGGTCAGCTCAGTAGCAAGGTCTGCAATCCTTAGCTCTGGACCAGTGGTTTTCCACCTTTATTCATTCACAGACCCCCTAAAAAATGTTGAATGGCAGTGCAGACCCCTTTGAATTGTAAGTGTGGGTATTCGCGTACTTTTGATTGATCGTAGTCATCTTTTGTGGGCCCCTTAGACATAGTCTGTGGACCCCCAAGGGTCCGTGGACCACAGGTTGAAAACCGCTGCTCTAGAAAATGTCGGGAAGTAGCCAGAATCGGGACTTGCTCCAAGGCAAGAGAGAGAGATGGTCAAGTCCGAAGGCACGGCAGTGAGCACGCAGACACCCAGATCTCCTTGTGTGAGCTTTCCAAGGACTAGGTAGGCCTCCAGACCCATGCAGTTTATTCCCAAATGTGACAGTCCCTTCATATTTTCTATGAACTTCGCAATTTTTTGAATCTTCTGACAAGTTGTTACCATGACGGGGGCACCGATGCCAACATTGTCGATGTGTATTAGTGTCATCATATGTTAATGCACGTTGAGGCTTCGGTCCATGTCAGGGACCTCTTGGTGCTGGAGGCTTATACAGGCAACCATTAGAGTAAGAGACTGTTTTGAACAGCTACCACTCGGGCTGTCTAGTGCGTCTGTGAGCAGATCTTCAAGGGACTTCGAACCTGGAGTGACAGCCAAGGTAGAGGGGTCTGGAAAGATCGGGGCAGACGCATTCCTACTATAATCCTGCAGCCAAGGAGAAAAATACACAGCACAGACAGTCATCAGTTGAATGCAACCATCACATTTGAAGGAGTTCAGTTTTACTTTGGTTTCCTTAGTATGGTCCTACATGGGAAAGGGTTATGTATCCAAGCACTAGAGTTGCTACCAGGAAGGTGCGTATGTCAGATCTGGAGGCTGAGCTGGAATTAGGTCCGTGAGAAGATTTGTCTGTCAAAGGTACCATTATTTATGACTTGACAATAATGCACAGAGGCCCTGAATGAAGTCACGGCCCATGCAGGCACAAAATGAGAAGCAGTTAGTGTCTGAGTAATGCTCGGAGCCAGCATAGACCAAGGCCTGGAGAAGAAGCAGAACTTAAATGACTTGCCCACGGGTGCAGAAGAAGTCGGTGGCAGAGGTAGAGCAGAACCTGCATCTCCAGGGCCCCGAGCCTGTGTCCTCACCCCTGGATTGCACTCTTTCTCATGCAGAACTGGTCTCTAATATATAGCTATATAGATCCATAGCTATATTTAGTTGTATTTATATACCTATAGATATAGATATTCTAGGCTGCAAGGCTTACTAAGTTCCATTTCTGTGACAGCATCAATAGCAACAACTCCGGCAGACAGGCTGATTCAACAGGTTGGAGGCTGGTCATCGTTGCCATTAGCAGAAAGAACTGGAGCAAAAGGTCTAGCGGGCATGGAATATAACTGATGAGAAGGGCTGGGAGCAGAAAGAGGCACTATTTAGAGGAAATGGATAAAAGAGCATGGGAAAAGGCAAGGCTGAGATCAAAGGAGCCCTGGCGAGAGAGAGATGGGTGTGCGACAGAATGGGGAATGGAGAAGCAGAGGCCATGGGGAGGGAGGGAGGAAAGGAACTTGGAGGCTGAGCTGTTTGGTGGAGCTTCAGGCATCTGAATCCCAATGAAATTCAGCGGGAGGTGGGTGCCTTTCCCCCGTGAACTCCTAGGAGGAATGGGAGAAAGAGCGAACCAGAGGAGGGGCAGCAGCAACCTGGACTTGGAAGGAAGAGTCAGCCCTGCCATTGCTTTAGCTGATAATACTTCTTCCCTGACTTCCCTTTCCCCGTTGCAGCGCAAGGTGGGCTTTGGTTCCTGCTGTGTGAAGCCGATCGAGGTCTGTGGGGCGCTTGGTGATACGTCGCTAATTGTTCCAAAAGCCACCCTCGCTGCCGGCTGTTTTGTTGCACTCGGCATTTAGGATGAACTGAATCCCACGTCCCGTTGCCCGACGCCGGCAACGTTCATGTGCACTAAATATGTTGCAGATGTTGCTGGATGTGTCTTGTACGCGTTTCCTCTGGGGTCCGTGCAATCTACTTCCTCAATGTAATTGCGATTTATTTAAATGTCAACAAGCCACACATGGGAGACAGCAGTTATATGAGAGAGCAGAGCAATTACAGGGAAAAGGTCCCATATTGCCACTTGAACAAAGAGCCAGGGTTGCAGAAAGAAAAGGACCATTTAGTTCTAGGGACTGACCACTTCCATTTGCACTATCAGAGTGCCAGTGCTCACATGCCAGCTGGAGCCCAGAGGTACAAAACTAAACCCTGCATTGCCTTAGGACTGCAGAAATCTGGAGGGACTTCCAGTGAAGCTAATGGAGTTACTCTGGATTTGCACACTAGCAACACCTGGTCTGTATTGAAGGGATTGATCCTGCTAGGACGAGTCCACGGGGAATGGAGGCCCCCAGGGGACTGACTTGCAGCCATTGCTGTAGCTCCAACAAAGACGGTGTTTCTAATCTCAAACCCAGCCTTGATTTGAGTTGTTTCAACAGAGAAATAAATCTGGATGTTTTATTCAGAGGCTTTTGCAGTATTAGGAGTAGCCCCGCCAGGTGTGTGATGCGAGTTCCTTACAAATGGGGCGGCTTGTCCCTTATTATTTACGCTGCGGTAGCATCTAGCGTCCCCAGGGCGTTAGGAGCTGCATGTGCACATCGCAAGAGATGGCACCTGCCCCGATTAGCTTGTCATCTAAGCAGGCACAGTAGTGCTTCGCCCAAGACCTCGCAGCAAAATGAAGACTAGACCTCTTCCCTTGTAGCTCGGTGTAGCTCTGCATGTTGGATCATGCTGCTGCTCTGGGGCCGTGCACGCTCATAGCCCTAGTGCCACAGGACGAGTGGGAGCGAGCTAAATGCAAGATATTTTCCTGGCTCTCTGAGGGCTGCCCCGCTCCTCACTCCTTGCTGTCGTGAACCCGAATTCACTGCCCGTATTGTTTCAAGCAATAGCCAACACCCGATGCAGAATGAAAGGACTTGTGGCTCTCATTTGGCTTGAGGCCGATGTCTTTTTTAATGGGGTTTTTAATATTACAATGATTTGCTGTGGGGGGAGCTTTTCTGAGCTATCTAGTAAGCCACTGGTGAAAACCATTGCAAATAATAATGTGCACAATTCGTCGTTTCTTAATAGACATGTGAGTGATGACTAATTATCCCCCCAGTCCCACAAAAGCTCTGCCTGGGTGGTGACGCGCACCCCACCAGTATTGTTGCAAGACAGAGAGTGAGTTGAACTTTGAAAGCTCGTGACTGTACTGACTGCCCTTCATTCAGAAGGGATGCAAGAAACCATCAAGCTCCTCGAGAGCTGGAACAATAGACTTCAGACTTCAGGAAGGCCTTCGATACGGTATCCCACCCCATACTGGTGAACAAGTTAAGAAGCTGTGACTTGGATGACTACACAGTCCGGTGGGTGGCAAATTGGCTGGAGGGTCGCACCCAGAGAGTTGTGGTGGATGGGTCGGTTTCGACCTGGAAGGGTGCGGGAAGTGGGGTCCCGCAGGGCTCGGTCCTTGGACCGATTCTCTTTAATGTCTTCATCAGCGACTTGGACGAGGGAGTGAAGTGTACTCTGTCCAAGTTTGCAGATGACACAAAGCTATGGGGAGAAGTGGACACGCCGGAGGGCAGGGAACAGCTGCAAGCAGACCTGGACAGGTTGGACAAGTGGGCAGAAAACAACAGAATGCAGTTCAACAAGGAGAAGTGCAAAGTGCTGCACCTAGGGAGGAAAAATGTCCAGCACACCTACAGCCTAGGGAATGACCTGCTGGGTGGCACGGAAGTGGAAAGGGATCTTGGAGTCCTAGTGGACTCCAAGATGAACATGAGTCGGCAGTGTGACGAAGCCATCAGAAAAGCCAATGGCACTTTATCGTGCATCAGCAGATGCATGACGAATAGGTCCAAGGAGGTGATACTTCCCCTCTATCGGGCGCTGGTCAGACCGCAGTTGGAGTACTGTGTGCAATTCTGGGCGCCGCACTTCAAGAGGGATGCGGATAACCTGGAGAGGGTCCAGAGAAGGGCCACACGTATGGTTAAGGGC